CTGAAAATATTTCCCACTATTTTAAACGCTTTTCTAGGGTAATATTTCGATCTCAAATTTTTAATCCATGAAATTCAGAAGCTGACCCATTTCAGTTATATATATTGCATGAGTTTCTTTAAGAGTGCTAAAATTTTTGTTTATTTATTTGTTGAAATTCTACCAATAATGAGGGAATGACTGCCTGATATGAATATTGAAATTAGTTTTTGCAATTCTAACGTATAGCTATGAAGAATCTTACACTTTTGATCACCGCTAATCTAACTAATGGATGAATTAAACGTGATGCTTCGGTGGAATCACGTAATTATGCGTGTATTCACATTTCAGATTCTCTAATCACTAATTATTGTGTAAAAGCACACCTAAAATCACTATTGCCATATACAAAAATGGCATTCACTGCTAAATTTTAATTAGCGCCAATGCAAGAAGGATTAATAACATTACAAGAATTGAAAAATGCGCCAACAAATGGTTATTATTGAGCTGTTGATGCCAATTTTGCTCCATGCTAATGATTATTTCAATTTGAAGCCACGACAAATTATTAATGCTGGCAAGTTTATTTTTCTTTCATTAAATGTTAAACCTTTTAGGAGGTTAAGTGTTTTCGGAATTCTTCGCATAACTTTCCAAATGTGTTCAGGAACATTATCAAGTAATCAATATAAAGTAGTCTCAAGCAATCACTTAAATAAGAAAGATAATATTAAGCAAACGGGTAAATACATGCAAATCAACTCACACTACACTTAGGATAATCGTGAATTAATTAATAAGGAAGTGAAGAGTGGACATTTTTGCTTCTTAATTAGAGCGCAATTAATATTCTTCCTTTCCGCTTCACAGAATGTCATTCATTGAAATATTTATCATAAGCAAAGTTAATAATAGTGGGTGAGTGGCATTATGAGTAATTTCTATAATAATTATTAAACACTTGACAGAGAATGAAATTCATATATTGAAGTTTACAGGATACTATCTCTCTGATTGTCATTTTACCATCGATTATCTGTCTGTCCATCTATTTCCTCATCCACTATTATTTTGTCTCTAAAAATTTCTACATGTTTCAATTTGTTACTCGGCGTTAATGGTAGTTAATAATCGTTGTAGATTGACGCTCGGAGAAAAATTAACAACTGTTTCGATGATCCGTCAATTTTCCTCAAAACTGTTTGTTTCTCTGCTTTTGCCCAATGCGATGATTTAAATTGTTCCTGAAACGAGGGAGAGGGGGAAATATTATAAGAAGAAAGGAAAAGATCTCATTTCTATTTATCGTTTTTAAATTTAAAAAAAAAACGATCCAGTTGACTGAATCGAATTTGAAATAATTGAATGACTTAGTATTTATAAATGAAAATTCAATTCGAATATATCAACAACAATCAATGGAAATGAATTAATCGAGTTCTTATGCAAATAGCACACGAAATAATCATTTTCTCATTTCATCTTCTACTCATTCGTTGGTTAAAACCCCAATTTTTTTTCACATCCCAAAGCAAAGTAGTAAGGCGGTAAAATAAAATGACGTTTGATTTTTATTTAGCCTCATTTCTCTTTTAGTTGGTAATGAATGTTTGCTCTAATTATCGATATACTCATTCCCACTCACTATCTTCTTGCTTCTTCTAGAAATGTTCAACTTGTAATATTGAATTTAAAGGAATACGAATTCTGAGAAACAGAACAGTTCATTTCACAGAATTAGCGAATCATAAGAAATATGAAAGAGCGAAAAATGCTTATGGATTCTATCTAACACGTCTAGATTTCCTCTTCCCCAATACCCCTTAGTGTCTTTTTTTTTGGATCATCTGAATCTCGAAGAGTCCACGCAACATATCTTCTGATCACCCTGAAATCAACTATGTCTGTGATATTAATTTGATTTGCGTTACAGCGCGCCAAAAGCCTTAAAATCGCAAATGCCAATAGTAAATCATTGAGAAAAGTCCTTGTGAAAGGAGCGGACAGTAGCAAAACTTTACACTAATCCTATGACTGATTAATCAATCATAAGATTATTGTAAAGTTAATTGATTGATCGCTCGATTGCTCGATCGCTTGCTTGATTGGTTGATCTTCATTGTGTGGAATGATTGATTCTTTAATGTTTATTTGTGTCAGTTATCACTTACATCCCTTTTTCAGCGATATAATCGATGCTTCCATTCTAAGCCTTTTTTTCTTATAAAGTAAACCACAAATTCTCTCTCAGATAATTTTTTGACCCTTCTAGCGCTTATTTCATCTTTCCAGAAGACAACAAATGTGTTGCTTCTTTATTAGAAATGGAAGGGTCAGTAATTTTAGGTGGTTTTTCTCTGTGAGTATAATTTCATTATTTTTCTGTGCAATTGCTTTCCTTGAATTTTCTCTTTCGAAATGGATGACTTATGAAAGGGATGAAAATGGAAAACTTTCTTGTTTGCTGCTGAGATTAAAAATTTTTCCCTCTGATCGTTAAGAGATTTCATTTTTTTCGCCAACAACATTTTTACTAAATTGTCGTTTATTTCTGTTGAAATTGTAATGGACTCGAAATTTTGGAAAGTTTAAAAATGGAGGCAACTACCAAAATCAAAACTGTCATCAGATCTTTCAAATGATTTAGCAAATAATTGTTGAATATGCCAACAGAGAGGTCAATAATTAACAAAAGTAATTTCTGTTGTTGTTTTCCTATCATTAGAGTTTGCTATCAGGCGGTATGATCAAGCTTAGAACACTGAGTTTCGTTTCATCACTCGGAGCTTTACGTTCACGAACACTTTGTCTGAAGAATCAAATATTAATCACTTCTGAAAGTTCCTGCAAAATTGAACAACTGGTAGACGAGTCATCGAATAATTAAAAGAACTCAAGTGAAAGCCAACATCCCATTTTATTTAAATCTTCATTTTGCCACACAAATTGCTTTTCACATTTTTGCCACATTTCGGCGGCGCATTTGTTTATCAGAATCTCTCCGCCCATTAATCGATTATTAATTCGGTGATTTTGTATCTCTTCCTACAAGCATGCCTTCAAATCGAAGGAATCTTTGAGCGGAATTTAAAGATAGAAAATAACTTTCGTTGAGGCAACTTTCTGCCTCAACGAAAGTGATCTTTTGCAGACAAAGAGGATGCAAATCCAGTTTTAATATTTGAAACGCTTTCTGAAGCTTTGAGCAGAGGAATAGGAGAGGAAGCACAATTTGAATAAAAGAATTGAGTAGTTTACAGCGGGAATTTGGTGTGTAGCAGAAGATGTTAATAAGTTTTGGATTAACAAATTATTTAAATGATGTATAGAATTCTTTTTGCTTTCACATTTAGGAAACAATTTTTTTCCTGGCCCTGAAATTTATTTATGACAAACGATAGAAGGTTAGTGGAGGAAATATGGGAAAATTGGAATTGGATGTGAGATAAAATTTTCCAAATTCTTAACCAAAAGTTTAAGAAGAAAAAGAGTAAAGTCTATTTATTTCGATCTTCTCTTTTCTCTTTTCTCTTGCAAACTGCAAAAGGGAAATAGCAAAAAATATATGTGAAAATATAATGTATTCTTTAAAAAGTAATTTAATTTCTTTCATCAATTTATCATAGGCTCGTGACAGTTTCACTTTGAAGTTGCTGAAAACTTTTGAAATTTGAAGAGTTGTATCGATCAATATTTGTAGTTTCATTTTTGTATTGGATAGAGACCATTTATGATATTTTGAATATCTCGGATAGATGAACTAAACATTTCAGAAACTGTTTTGAAACTTTCAAAATTCCGATTTAAGCTTCTGAAATATCAGCAAACATTTAGTCGAAATGATAGATTAACTTCATAGAGGTAGAACTGATTTCTCATACCTGAAGAAGTAAGCTTTGTAACAATACGAATACATCTGACATGTCGTCCGATAACTTTTTCATTTGGGACCAACCATTTTAATTTCAAACGTTAAAACCAAATTTTATTTGGCATTAAAATCTTCAAGATTAAAATTAAACTTTTGTTCAACTTTCGGTGAACTATTTACCCTCGACGTTAATTATCGGCACATTATTATGTACGTATGTATGTGTGTTATGTATGCATGCATGTATGTGTATGTGTATGTGTGTGTGCGTGTGTGTGCGTGTGTGTGCGTGTGTGTGTGTGAATCCTTTTAATGCAATCCAAATGAATGTTTACATTGATGAATAGTGAGAGTGAGTGATCTGTGATTGATTAAACAGGAAGAACTTTTGTTAGGGACTGTATACATATAAATGACCACTGAAAAGGCATTTATGGACATTATCCTTTACAGAAAGGGAATGGACAGGGCATGGTAACTTTCGAATCTTTATGTAACCTAGTGAAAGTATCACAGATAGACCAATGTAAAGAAATGTAAAAGAGGGAGAAATTATAATAATAGCTGTCTCCAATTAAATATATTTTTCCAGAAATATCCAGTATTTGTTTCAATAATTTGTTGTTAGGCAATTAATCAAATTCGAATTGGAAATGCAAAACTATTTCAAAACATTTGAAGAATTCATTTATTAAAGTAAGTTCAAAATATTCAGACAAGCTCATCATTAAGCATTCTCATTTTTTAGCCATAAATATATTAATATTTTATACTCATTTAATTACAAGATATCCTTGACATAAATGCTTTGAGAGAAAGCGAAAGATCTCTCTTTACCATCGATGAATGATATTGAAGTGTATGAATTTGTTATGCTAATTTATTCCGACGAAAAAGTGCTCTCAAGCAATGAAAATGTTCCTTTCTTCTTTCTGCTGATTCATTCAACTTTCATCCAAATTATTCTGAAATCTTCAATATCTAAAAACAACCTGGAAATATCAATTCTTATTATGGCACCGTTTCGAATGGCATTTTCTGCATCTATGAGGATATCCATTTTGTTGGAAATTAAATTTAAATGGTTTAGAATGGTTTGGAAAAGTTTGAAAGTTTGAAATGATTTAGAAAAAATTCTCTATGAATGGAACTATTGAAATGGAAACGTTGTGCAAATATTTTCGACTTATCAAACGATTATTATTGTGTTACTATGTTTACGCACAAACCGGAAAATTTAACGAAACAATGTCGTTTACCCACTAAAGATTTCTGGCTCATCATTTTTTACATTACAGATATGGCCAATAGCGCGTACTATGTAAAACTGAATGATACGTGTACATATTAAGATATACGTGTAAACAATGTAAGAGCGTGAGAAACATGAAAGCATAGCATTGACACTGATAGTAAAGCTTTGTAATGCTGCGTTGTGACTAACAAATTGTCCGGATAAGTATTACTTATTCAGTATTAGCTGTTAGGTATGACATATGATGCATATGAGACTCGACATTTTAAAACTTTTAAATAGTTGAATCTAGTTAGTACGACAAAATGAGACGCGTAATACATGATTATATAGAAGTGTACATGTAGATAACTTAAATGCCGAATTGAGATCAGCTGAAGTGCTCGAAGCATCGGTATATCAAAAATAGAAATATTAGAAAAATGAATCATCCTGAATTGATTTATTTCTCATTTTAAGTTGATCAATTCAGGGAAGTCATTATTTAAAAAAAAAAGAAAAATTATTTCAGTACTTTCCGGAAGACGATTCACTGGCCGCAGTGGAATATCAACATCGGAGCCAATAGGAGAAAATGATTCGAGCTATTTCAAACTATTGGAAGCAGATGGCGATTCGCTCCTTATTGGTGCAAGGTAAATAACCATAAAATTAATTGTTTCTTATGCCATCATCAAATAGCTTTGCCGATTGCACTTGTGTGTGAAGGTCAAGGGAACACTGATGTTGCTGAATTTAGTTATTATTATTATTATTATTATTACTATTACTATTATTATTAATTATTATGATTTTTAATTATGATTTTTAATTTCAAATTTTAGAATGAAAATTTGCTCATCGATAATGAGCAAACAGAATTAATCTAAGTGAGAATAAAATACAATCTATCATTGATTCTATACTTTTGATTTTCACAAAAAATAGCACACCATACTTCTATAACCAAAAATAAACTTTCTTTAAATTTATCACATTTTGCAGAGATAGAGCCTACAATTTATCAATGGCAAATCTACAAGTATTACACGTAAGTTACTTTTGAAATTTAAATAAGTGGATTTAAGATTAAATTCAGGTTAATTTTCGAAATCTAGGTCATTTTTTTCATGAATTTCTTATTCAACACGGGAAATTTATTTTGAAGCAATAAATCGAGTGGCTATTTTAAAATAAGTACTCCTTCTTCCTTGTTCCTCACAATTCATAATCGTAATTAATAGAGAGAGTTTATTTAGTCTCCAATTTTTTGAAGTTCAGTAGATAATTTTCTCAAAATGATAGTTCACTGAAATAACTGCCGGCTCTGCTTTTATTGCGGTAAAGAGCATATCAAAAACAAATTTCAAAAAAATATTGAATTCCCAAAAATTTTGATAAGTTATTTTTATCCTCAGAGAATTTTAACCTCTTATGCTAATGTTAATGGTGAAAAAAATCTGATCGGAAATAACAGTTTGATTAAAGTATTCTCATAGTCTTTCATATTAACTGGAGGAAAAATAAGATAGTGAAGTTGGGATGTGAATAATATAAGGAATTTACGTTTTGGATGGTTTAATATAATAACTGAACGTAAACTCTCATTTTAGTCGCTTTTCATCAATGCAAATTACAGGTGTTAGAATGGGTACCGCCGGGACAAACGATCGAGGATTGTCTTATGAAAGGCAAAAGTCGGGTATTGCTTAATGATTCTACAATGATTGCCTTGTAAATTTCCCCAAAGGAAGCAGGCATATCACATGTTTTTTTAATATTTCCTCCTTATTTCCAGTTGGAATGTCATAACTACATTCGAGTTATGGTACGACAATCCAATGGACGTAGCCTTATTTGTGGCACACATGCATATTCGCCCAAATGTCGGGAATACGCTTATTCAGATGATGATCGCATGCTACAACAAAGACGGCAGTTCGATGGACAAGTAAATTTCCAAATTTTTTTCTTTGTAATTTATTTCCTTTTATTTGCTGGTCAACCTTCGAACTTTGATGCATATTTTTTCTCTCTTTTCAATATTTCATAAAATATTTTATGAAAGCTTTTCTAAGGTTTTGTTGATTTTTACCCTCCACGTTTTTTTCACTTAACAAGTCCAAATTTTTTCTTGATAGTTACCTTTAATTATTGTTTTCAGGGAATTGTACCTTACGATCCAAAACACAATTCTACCGCGGTTTACATCGCCGATGCCAATGAAATCTATACGGGAACAGTATCAGATTTTGCTGGCAATGATCCACTTATTTACAGGAAAAGATTATCAGATGACGAAGGATTAAGAACACAACGAGATGACCTTAAAGTACTCGACTGTAAGTGTGCTAAGATAAAATTTTTCAATTGAAGATGGGTGGTAGGAACTGCAAAGCGTCGACTCCATTCCTGCAAATTTTCGATGGGATATATTCCAAGTAGGGTGATTATTCCTGACCTTTCAATTGTCAGATGTTTGTAAACATTTCAAGTAGAAATTTCGAAATTCATCTCTCATTCTTCATTTCCTTTAGTATTCTAATATTTAAGGAAGTTCGACTATTCAATGTGTAAAATACTGATGAAGTTTCTGAATATCATGTCCTTGAAATAACTTGTGCTCTGCACAGTAAGATTCAGGTGAAGTTGTGATTCTTAGCTATGACCCAATCATTATTTCTCGGATTTTGCCTTTCTTTCCGAAAGTTTTGAATAATTCCGAACTGTTTTGATCTACACATTTATGAAGCATATAATTTCAATTGAAATACCGAAGGTAAATGAGGTTCTCGATCCCATAATTTAAAATTCATAATTTAATTTAAAGCTTTAGAACATATCAGATGTGAAGAATCCTTAATTAACCATTATCATGGTTTAATTGAAGGATTCTTATGAGATATCCTTGTAAGCTTCCCAAAAAGGCTCAGAGCAGAATAATCCCAGCAATCAGGCTATTTTATTCAGTGGAGTCTTATGACATTTTAAGATTTGTTTACTTTCAAACAAGTTAGACTGTCCGGAAGTTTTCATTACTGTGATGAATTTACAGCGCCATGTCGTTGCTGTAAAATAACATTTAATTCATTTCTTAAACAATTATTTAAGAAATTACTTCATATGACGGACGACCTGAAGCAGAAATTGTTTTGGATTCGATTTAAATAGCATATATGTTCTGAAAAATTCTGCTAATTCATATCTGTGAAAAAATAAAAATTTTCTGGATTTTTCTGGACACATTAACTTCCTATAAAAACTCAATAATATCTTTTTACTGGGAGCGGCTGATCTAATTTCAAAACTGATCACATTAGGAGTAATAGATAGATAGCACTTATAATTAATGTCAACCTTATGTCCATATCTTATTGTCGCAAAATAATTCAAATGCAAAATGCCAAAGGCACATTGTACATATTCCGTAATGTGTGTCTTCGGAACATACGTTCCGAAGAATGGAAAACATTTTTTTATTATTTCGCATATTATTGATGGTTCAAACCAGGTCATCAGGTCATTCTATATTAAATTTAATGAGATGAAGTAATTTAAGATGTTGCATTTTATCTCGGATTGAATAAAATAATATCAGGCAGTCAGTTTATTGTTTATTTGTTTACTTGTTATTGCAGCACCAAATTTCGTGGCATCATTTATTTACGGCGACCATGTTTATTTTTGGTATCGCGAATGGGCTGCTGAAGCTAGCGATGGCGATCGACAGGTGCTTCCATAACGAGCATAATAATAATTTTAACTGATGGAATTTTTAAAATGAATGAATCGATGTATAGTAGAGAAATAAAGGCAGTAAAAAAGTTCTCAAATTGCCATTACAACTATTTCATAATTTTTCGCTCTTTTTTAATAATTTTGAAGATACCAATGATATGCTTCAAATAAAGTTCACTCGTCTCTTCATTTAAATTTCTTTAAAGTTAAATATTTCCCGGTAATTTCATTTGCAGATCTATGCTCGAGTTTCGAGAGTTTGTAAAAATGATCGCGGCGGTGCCCGTCCAGCTCATGAGCGCTGGACATCGTATGTAAAAGCGCGACTAAACTGTTCAATCTCGGCAAATACGCCATTTTATTTCAATGAACTGCGTATGATTTTCTATCAACTTTATTTCCACTAACTCTTAAATTTGTATTTATTTAATGACAGGAAGAAGTTCTTTTGTTGGTTGAAGAAATTCGGTTTCCATTCCCTCTTGGAAAAATTCCTCTTCAGAGACAAAAATATCATTTGAAAGGGTGAGAGAAGTGACTGTTTCTATTTGTGCTCTTGAAATAATAAAAAGTTGAGAAATAAAAAATTGTTTCTAAGATTTTTTCCATATGTATCAATTAATGGTTGTCAGATTTCTTCTCTTCACCTCTTAATCTTCTCAGCTATGAAAAAATTTGATGATCGATTCACTCAGGCTTATAAAACAGAGACTGTTTTAAAAAGGGGATTTTTTTCACTTCCCATTTTTCATCTTTATTCAAATCAGTCATCTTTTTCAATTATTATTAATTAGTTGGTTGTTTGTCTAAATGCAAAACGGTAAGTGCTTGCAGAGAAATACTCCCAATATGAAAATGATTTGGAAGGTTTTTCAAAAAGATAAATTCAAATTTCATAAATGAATTCCATTTATAATTACAGGAAGCATCCTATTTTGATTTCAATATTGACTGGTTGCAGAAGCGGTGACCGAACCGACAACAACAACAGATGGTTCTTCTTATGTATATGCTGTTTTTTCAACACCCGAAAGCAGTGTCCAAATGTCAGCTGTATGTGCATATCGAATGGAAACTATCAAGCGGGTTTTTGATTATGGACATTTTAAAATTCAAAAAACTGCTCAAAGCTTTTGGATACCTCACAAACCGCACGAAAGTATACCTATTTCAAGACCTGGGTCGGTAAGTTATATTATTAAATATCTCATTCATAAGATAACTGTGATGATGAACAGCCCGTGTTGTGGATATCTGCGATTATATCATCCGCGATTCATTCACCATATTCTATGCATGTACGGCAACTGCCCGTTGTTTCAGTGCGTTGCGGATTCCTCAAAGTTATCGGAAAATATTGTTTCGTTCATCGCACGCAACCCATTGATGCACGAAGCGGTCCCTGCGGTACGTTCAAGACCAATCCTCGTTCAAGGACCCGAACATGCGTCATTCACGCAGATCGCCGTTTTACCTAAAGTTTATAGTTTTTTTTTGATAAAAATTTTTTGTTTGTGATCTCACTGAAAAAGAATTTAAAATGAAAAACTTGAGAAATCTATTTGCTACAACATATACTGATAGAATCTGCGATTATCTCTTATTATCACCCAATTTGTATTATCAAATATTATTTCAAAATGATCTTAATATCATTCGCTTGCATCTACAAGGAAAAGCTTCTTCATTGTTCCGTTTCAAATTTTTTTAAACCCTTGAAAGGGTCAAATTCCAGAAAGTTGAAGCCGCCTTTTTGAACAAAACAAAAGTACGAACAAAAGTTTTTTAAGCAATATACGAGCAAAAAGTAGTTTTTCTGTAGAAAACAGATTCTCCTGAATGAATGTTTATCTTTCGATAAAATTTAATTTCTATTAGCAAAGTAAGAAGATTAAATTAATCACATATTGTCGGTAGAGGAAGATGAGAAGAAATAATTATATTATATGGATAGATCTCGGGAACATCCATTTATGCTTTATGAATAGAAAATTTAAGTTTTAATTAATGACAAACTGATTCACCCGTGACAAATATCTCGTCCAAATACTTTTATTTCTCCTGCAGGTTCATTCGGTTAAAAAAGGGGTGACACGTAACGCCTTGTATATTGGTACTTCGGATGGACGTGTCCTGAAGGTCTATGATTCTCAAGATGGTCCTACGACAGTTGTTCAGTCAGTAAAAGTTTTCTCCAAAAATTTGCCGATTATTAATTTGATGGCTATCAATGACCAGGTAATTAACAACTGATTACAGCATCTGCCAAAATTTCATTTTCGCAAAATTCGAAACACTTCAAATTTTCTATCATTAGCCAAACTTTTATCAGATCAATTCGGTGATAGTTATTGATAAATCATTTGACTGCTTAACATCAATCAAAAACGCCATTTTTTATGTATTTCTTAATTATAAGATATGTTTAGGTGATTTTTTAATATTAATTTTCAGTTGATTGTGGTAAGTTCAGACGAAATAGCAGCAATTCCATTGGAATACTGTTCAGAACAACGAAATTGTGCAGGTTGCGTGCATTTGCAAGATGCACATTGTGCATGGGATTTAGATAGTGCTCGTTGTGTTGGTCGAAGCACATGGTCAGGAGAAAATTTCGTCCAAAACATAGTTCTGGGACAGTCGGAACAATGTCCTGAAGGTGCCGTGGACCCGGACTACTATGCGGTTGATGGTAATTTATATAAAGCTCTGTAATGCTTCAAATCGGAATTAATGCCTCTGATTATCCTGTGTAAATAAACCATTCCAATCACTCACTAATGAACTTTCTCTTTTACCAAATAATAATGTAATCTTCTTAAAAGTTGACATTCATCTTTTTTCTTTTATTTTTTAGAAATGAAAATTTCGTTGGCGATAAGTTATTTTAGAGTTACATTCGGATCGGGTCATTTCAATGGACGAAATAGCGAATAATTCTGGTTGTGCACGACTTGTCGTAGTTGTGTTGATAACGATGACTATTGCCTCAGTTTGCGGCTTCTTTGTTGGCTATCGATTATCCAGGTGGAGATTAATACGGGATGGTCAGCCTCATTCATCCAGTTCTTCCACAGGTTGATAATTTTAACTTTTATTCATGCGGTTTTTAAATCAACTCTACCAAAATTTACAAGTATTTTTCGGTCATTAACCAATCGTTATTCTTTAGTTTGATTTCAATCAAAAGGATTCACTTTTTCGTTTAAGGAAGTTATGATTCGTATGGACGTGCTCGGTTGACACGTCATGATTCCTTAGCTGGTGCCAAATCGGAGCATGTTTATGGTGCAGGACCTGTAAAGGATGCAGTATCATTAGTTTCAGCCATACCTCAAAATGGTACAATATTTTTGAATCCTAGTAGTAATATAAATTCTGGCTTTGCAACATCTAAACTTTCTGTAGAAAAAAATCACATAACATGTTTGAATAACAGTACGTTACCAAGGGACTATAAAGTTAAAAAAGTTTATTTATAGTACAAAGGAAATTCCTCGGACAGATAAACTAGCAAGTTACTTTCTTTGTTTAACTTCCCGAAATTTTTGTATTTTTCCACTTTAAAGCAATTTGGAAGCATTGAGCTGAAATAGCCTGTCTTCGCTATCATTTAGTAACAATCATATTATTTTCAGTTCTGCCATAATCATTTAGTACGCAAAATAAATTTCATTTAAATTACTGCAAAAATTTAATCCTACCGAGACGTACATACATCGATATCTCGTGGTACGGGTTCTGTTCGAGGGATTTCATTTCGACCCTTTTTTATTTTCCTTAAAAAAATTTTAGCTTAGGATATTGAGAGGAGGAAAAAATGGCTGATATCATATTCTTTGTTTTTTGCATATTTTTCCACCTCACAATAATTTTGAAGGAATTAAACTTAAAAAGCAGTTATCCACTATTGTCCATTATGTTCATTTTTCATTCTGCTAAAGTGGCATTTCAATCTTAATATGTTCAATATGTTATATGATCGATATATGAAAAAGTGGAATGATCTGCGGGAGGGTAATTAAAAAGTGAAGGTCAAGTCAGCTGAAATGGTTTAAGAGAGAATTAAAGTGGTGGAAGAATATAGAAATGTGCCGTGATTCACCGTAGCTTCATCCTTCCTTGAGCTTCATCATTTAATTAATTTCGGACCAAATTTCGGAATTGTTTCAGTTGTGTCTCCTTATAAACATAGATATATACAGGTAAATGATCTCTTGTTTTTGTAATATATTTTTGCCTTTTCTTCGTGCTTTTATTTCATTTTTTTTTTTTGATTATGTAAATTTTGAAACCAGCATGAGTAAATATTTCAATGAAAAATCCAGCAATATAATCAATCAGCCTTTCGATTTCTTTCATTGTTTCAACAGCAGTTGAAATTGAAAGTAATATCGGAGAAATGAAGGATTTTAGTCATAATCCAATCTTACAAGTTGCTTTACTTCACTTTGCTTGTTTAAAAATATTTATGTTACATTTGATTGCTTTAAATAGTTTGTTTAAAAAAATTTCAAGTATCGGTCCTTTCTGGTCGATTCGGTTCGACATTTCATAAGCAAATGATAGATGGAAAAACAAATAGCTTACTTTAATACTTGAAATTTAGAATAGAAAAGTTATTGTTAGTATTGCTGTTTTGAAATGTAGCGAAGTTTATGAAATATTTGAAATCTTTTTGAAAATCTCAGTTGTTGTTTTATGCTGGTTGCTAATACACACACACACACACACACACACACACACACACACACACACACACACACACACACACACACACACGTTATTTCAACAAAAGTTCATTTTTTACACGCATTTTTCTTTTGTATTTTTACCTTTAATTCTTGATGATTAGCCGATTGATCTTACTTGATCAAACGAGTACTTTAAATCAGATCAGATATTGCTGAAATTTTAATTAAGTTGGAATATTCAAGATTATCATTCTCTCAACCCAAATAGTATTCAAAAGCATAAATTAAAATGTAAAATTCAAGCATAATTGCCGAATTCAGTCTGTAATTGTTATTAGTATGAAGCCTTCGTATAAACATATATTTAGCCTTGATCAATAAATGAATTAAAATGCAAAATATAAAATTGCATACGAATTATTTTGCAACGATACTGGAGGTGACCTTCGATATTTATACAAATTTCATGTTAAGATACCAAAAAAAATTGGCGGCATATGATTCCTGCAAAGATTAATGTTTGAGTACTTTATGATATCGTAAGCAAAGCACTGCCACAGCTTTTTAGCTTGCAAGACCTAAGAATTCTATCATTTCCATTCATGCATATGTGATGCACACTTTAAAATGACACTTCCACATAATTCAGAAAAAGTATTCAACTTACGTCTCTAGAACAATAGAAAATAGACCGAGTCAATTTTCGATGAATGTCAGACTGAAAATATTTCTAAGTTGTTGAGAATTCATCACTTTCATTTTTAACATTTCGAAAATATAATTACTCATAATTACTTCATATCTAAGAATTATCTTTATTGTATTATCAGCCAAAATTATGTTATGGAGAAATCATCTGAATTGCGACTACAGCGAGACTTCCCTCTTCTACGTAATTTCACAGATGTCATAATCAAACATCAACGTGTTGACATAGTAGAAACTTATTCTGCACTGGGAAATGTTATTTGCAAAGGTGCCACTACTTTTCTTTCAATTCAAACGTTGCTTCAGTTTATTATTTGTCAATTAATTATTTTGTGACACCCATTACTGCAAAAAGTGTTGAGCATTAGACATACAACTGATTTCATGCATTTTTCAAATTTCGACGTAATATATATATAGTAGGAGTCAGTTTTAATAAAAGCTTTAACTCCCTCCAGTTCTGAATAACAATGAAAATCGAGTAAAGTAAGTGTATGTTATGTCTTCAAAATCTTTTCAGTTTGTTTAAATATCTTACTGCAGATTGTCTACGATTAATTAACAAAATACTTTTACCATAAACCAATGAAGTAATTCCTGCAAGTTTAGATTTTTCGATTATCCCATATTTCCAGCATTTTCATATTCATCTATTTCAAATTTGAAAGAAGGAACAAATCCATTAACTCAAACGGAAGTATTTCTGATAAATTAAAGTAAATACTGACTTTATCGTGTAAAAATCTCTCATCCTTTTTAATCATTAAAAAATTTACATTTTTCCGGAACTGCTTTCTTGTTTCAACCGAAGGAGCCAAAATAAAATTCAAAAGTGCTATCTGGCAGGAATATTCATCATATCCCCATTTCATCATGCCTTTTCTACTTGCTTATTTCAACCTTTATTATTGTAAGGGACTAAATTCTTATCAAAAAATTTTAAATTCCATCTTTATGATGTAAGTGAAGAGCATTCAATTTCAATTTCATTTTCCCATACGTTCTTATCATTTTCATGCAACAATGAAAATCTGTTTATCATATTTCTGTACTATTCAAACATTACTATTTGAGTATTCAACACGAAGATGAACATGTATTTCCCACTCAAACATATTTATTTCATTTTATGTTAACAAGCAATGCAATAGTTCAGTTCACGAAGTATTATTTTATATCGATTATCAGTCAGATAAGAATCGCTCATATTTCGTTGTCACTGTTCGTTTAATTCGCTTAGTTATTACCAAACGGACGTCATTTCATCAGACATTCAAAAATTGATCCATCTTACCTTGCCATCTAACGAAATTTCATTTATCATTAACCTGCATTCATTCGTTCGAATGTCTTAAATCAATCATGACGACACACTATCTTATCACCTTCTCTTCACATCCGTGTAGGCTATTCATGCCATACGCATTCACTGCCATTCTGCTTAATACGTAACCTAGGCTGAAGGAAATTTCTTTAATGAAAGGTCTATGAATATTATTAGAAGGTGCAAATATGCATCACTTATCACATTCATCATCATTTTTCACGTTAACAGCGGTTTACGTTAAATAGGAAATATTAATTGGCAGCTCCCAAATAATTAAAATGCTAAGTGGAACAACAGTTCTTCATAATAAAAAGATTCCTGGCACAACAAACTCCATGGCCAAATTTATCAAAATACTATCAAAAGTTAAGGATGTAATAAATAGACAAAGAAATCAGGACTGAAATTTCAGTGATAAGAGAGAGATCAGGATTGAATTCTCAATGATAAAGAAGAATCAGATTGAAATTTCAGTAATTGTTAGTTGTTACGCTTACAACACTTTCACTTGTCGCAAATGACACGTTCTTTTTGTATAGATAAACATTTTTTTCAGATAAACAAATTGAATGGAAGTAGTGGGAGGAAGAGGAAATGTGATAAGATGGGGAAATTTGCCTAGAGGACAGAAATAACTGTCAAAATTGAAGCAGTAACGGGGATATTTGTGCTTTTCTCTTCTCTTCTCATCATCGTTCCAAAAACTTTTCATCTTTATTGATTTTAAATAAATGTAATGAGAAATTCAAAATATCTCCGAAAATTCCTGTTGAAATAAAATTTCCAAAAACGCAAAAAAAATTTATGCAACTAAAATTACTTTCAAACAAGCTGTAAAACATGCTTAAAAACTGAAACAAATAATCGATGTATTGAAAATTCAAAGTTTCTCAGGAGAGAAAAAACCTCAAAATTTTTATGAAATTTGAAGCCTAATATCGAATTCAAATATTCCTATCACATCTTCTCTGATATTGGTTGGTTGAATCTACCGCCGAAATGATTGGCAAAATCGCAAACGTATTTATACCAAAAAAAACCTTTCCTTTTTTTCCATATGTCATTTTTCATATATTTATATATCGGCGAAATTATTCTTCTCTTTCATATTTCACTATGTTCCCGCGCACTTTTCTATGTATTAAATATCAGTCTCACTCAGTGATTTCTTCAACTGATACAAATTCCTATAATACAATGAAAGCTATCTATCAACCTCAAAGGTGATAATAGGTGATTAGCAGAAACTTGCATTTTACAAAAAAACTCTTAAATCAATGATGGAGAGACATGCTGAGGGATAAGGCCTTGGCCTGCCAGGAAGTGAGCATAGCGGGCATCGTCGTCTACATTGGTCAGATATCGTTCTCCACCTAATTGCAATTCAAGCCGTCTCAGATCCATGTAAACTTGCGCTCCACCCAACCATTCATGCTTCATGCATTCATCAATTGATAATCGTTCTTCGATCTGAAAATCCCCACTATTGGGCATCAGCTTCTTTCCAGTATATTTTACCTCAGGTAAAACAAGATTTTGACAAGTCTCTTCAAACCAAAATTCGGCACATATCCTAACATAAAATCTCTGCGTAATATCGAAGCGTACGAGAGCACTACAATATTCCTAAGTGTTGGTTTGTCTGTCTCAGATGGATAGCTTAATGGGATATTGGAGTGTTGATTTTGGTGGAATGCTATGTAATGAGAGTAATAAGAGTAATTTCTAACTATGAACATCACAACATAGGTTG